GGGACGGGGGGAGGAGAGAGAGAGAGATTAATTAGTTGCAGGTATGTGTCCTGTCTGGGAATCAAACCCACAACCTTTTGGTGTGCAGGACCATGCTCCAACCAACTGAGCCACTGGCCAGGGCTCCCCACCAGATTTTTAAGGAAATATAATTCTCAGTAGTTTTCCAAGTTAAAAATAAATAGTGCTATTCTGCGAATGTGGAAATTCTTACTTGGGAAGGAAATGCCGTAACCAAGCCAGTGGACATCTCAGTATTCATTCATTGTACGGTATTTTGAATTGCATTTGAAATGAATAAGTAGGAAAAGCAAACCATGAAGAGTTCAATATATCAGTTTAAAAATTACAAAGTTTATAAAGAAAGATGTGAGGAGGAAAGGAGAAAGAGTGGCAAGCACCTAAAAGTCTAAGGTGGTGAATGCTTGAGTAAATTATGCCACCACCTTCTGAGTGAGTCACATGGTTTCAGCTTGGGCTCATCTGATCAGTTACCAGAAGGATCTTCTTAGCTCCCCCAACCTGAATAGCAAGACAGCAGTGATCCCAGAGCATTCTTACAAATTGTAAGTCATGATGGGAAATTCTTTTAATGACGAGGCAATTGAAGTTTCATTATGTCGAGGAACTCTGAGGAAGTATCACAATACAAAATTTAAAAATATATTTCCTATTATACACACACACCCACTTTCTAGAATAAAAATCAAAGTCATATTGGCCTGTCCTCTCACTTTCTATATGTTGCAGAATTATGTCAAGTTGTTCTGTTTTCTTGTAAAGCTTTTTTGTCGAAAAGGGGGCAACCTGATGGCAGAATTTAAAGTGCCTGGATTCTGAAACCGAAACCAACTGAACCTTTGTGATGATTTCAGGCGTCGGTTTGTTTTATACCTTTTTTTAAAAAGATTGGATTTGTAACATGAAGCTTTCATTTTTAAAGTCTGATTTATGGGAAACCTCAGTGGTAAGTTTCATTTTTGGTTTCATGCGAATATATTTCCAAGGAAGAAGGACCCGCAGTTTTCGCTGTAGAGAAGTCTGAGCGGAACTCTCTGCAGCAGAGGGCGGGGACTCCACCCTTCCCCTCCCAGAGCCTTTAACGTGCCGCCCTCCACGAGTTCTACAGGCAGTCCCTGGCGAGCGCCCGCGGCAGGTAGGGAGCGTGCTATCCCCGCGAGTGGCTCACTGGCCAGGATCTCTGGCCATCTCGCTTGGCTTTTTTAAAATGTATGGTCCATGGTCTCCTCTATTTCAGATGAAGAGAGAAGGGAAAGGAAAGCTGGAGGGTTGCGGGGAGGAGGGAGAGGGGTGGGGTGGGCAATAGAGCCAATTACTTGTAAAGGTTAATTAGAACAGGTAACACGTTTAGCCTGTCCCTAGGCAGGATCCAGTTATGCTTAATGTCAATCTTGTAAGTGTATGTTTCTGTGAGTTTATAAATATGGTCCTGAGGTTGGTAGAGGGTCTATTGGAATATATCTGGGCTGGAAATCCATCCTCAGCCACTCACTAGCAGTATGCTGTGGATAAGTCAGCACACCTGCGGCATTTCCCTATGGTCCTTTCCTGTGGTAAGACCCAGGATTCTGGAACCCGAGTTCTTTGCCCTGTTTGCTCTGGGGACTTAAAAGAAATCCTGAAGGAGGAAGAAAGAGGTAAGAAGGGGTGAGTTAAAACATTTCTTAGACACATTGACTGTGGTTTATGTCAAGAATAGTTTGGGTTTGTTTTATAACACAGGGAGTACTTCAAGTACCATTGTTCCATCTTGGTTTTTGCACCTAAAATAAATATATAGACAAACTGTGGATGATTTTCTATGGATTAAATAGCCTTGTAAATGTGATTTCTTTTTAAATGGCTATATTCCATGGTGCTGGATAACCAAACAGAAATAATCCTCCATGTTGGGCAAAAGATTATTTATAGTTATAGTGATTTACTATTTTAGCCATTCGCTGGACATTTTTGCTCTCTGGGACATAGCTGATTATTTCCTTCAGGTAAACTCATAGAAACATAATTACTTAGCCAAAGAGTCTGAATATTTTAAAGGCCTTTTGATTAAATGATGCTGGAAGGAGACTTGACTTTGGGTGGTGAACACGGTACATTGTAGAATTATATACCTGAAACTATATAATTTTATTAACCAATGTCACCCCAATAAATTCAGTAGTAAATAAATGAAATGAAAATTGCCTTCCAGAAAGATTGTGCCAGTTCACATTGACAGTTGCTAGCAGATTTTAAAGAACTATGATACTTTGAAGAAAAAAATAGCTTTTTTCAGTGGAAGAAGGTAGTAGAGGTTATAGGACAACAATTAGTATATAGTTATAAAGAAAGCCATAGATATACTGTGGGGAATTGAAGCAAGACCTGGGAAATGTACAAGTGTGTTGTAGGGTCACTGAAGGGAAGGCCACTGATCAACTCTCTTGATCTATTAATGAGGTGAGTTTTCAGTTCATTTGGAGATACATTATCAAATTCTCAGAACTTTTAAAAATCATATACATTGGGTAAAAATCAAAGGAAACCCTAAACCAACGTATATCATTCTATACTCCTACTTTTGAGAAATAAAGCTTGAATTCTGGTTGAGCCTCGACCTATGAACCAGGATTCCTTCTATCCATTCTGCCATGGGAGGTAGAGAAGTAGTATCAGTTCCATAGTATTATGTTGGGTTCTCCCAGGGACAAACCTGCTTCCCCATCCTGAATGAACCATTACTTATCCTCTAATTCACATTTCCTTGGTCTTTGAACACATCAGTTTTTGTATGGGACTTCACTCATTGGCAAAATTTAGTTGTAATCCATGAATAGATATAATGTCCCTCTGATTTATTCAGCGGTTCTTTGCTTGGAGTCTTAAGTTTTCTTCTGCCCAATAAGTGCATTTTTTGTTTATAATAGTGCATTTGTATTTCATAATTGTAGTATATCAACGCTGGCCCAAGGAAGGACAGTCAGATAACTATCATACAGCAGCCTCATTTCAACAACTTTTATGTTCTCAAGGCCTGAATGCCATCTCTTTCCCATCTACAGTGCAGATGGTAAGGAGATAAATAAGAATTATGCACATCACACTAGCAAGAGAACAACGACTCATTTTATTTTACCCTTTTTGTATATGTATATGAACATGAAGGATCATATAGGTTGTTAGGTGAAAACTGACCTATCCTTCCTCTAATTTCACTCCTGGAGATAATCACTGTCAGCTTCTTGATATGGCTTATTCTGGAATCTATGTTTAAACACACACACAGATTTTTAAGTGAGTGTCTACCACATACACAGTTCTGCGACTTACTTTTTACATCTCTGCACAATCAATACTTGTACATGTACTTAATTCTGTCCTTAATGCTATTACATTGTAGGACTATATCAAAATTTATTTGACCACTTAGATTATCTAGAGCATCCCCAGTTTTGGGCTAATATTAGCAATGCTATTCCCTTTACATATATTCTTATATGTATGTGTTTTTGTTTTTGTAGGGTATATTTCTAGAAGAGGAAGGGAAAGCTAATATGACATTTACATTTAAATTTTTAATGTTTAAAATTGCCTTCCATAAGAAGGTTACATGACTTCCTATTCCTTCCTACCATTAGAGGGTGAAAGGTTCATATCCTCAAAAAACACTAAATATTAGGAATCTTTATAATTTTGGTCAAGCTAATAAGTGAAAAATGGTATCTTATGTTTTAATTTTATGCTCTTTTAAAAATTGGTGAGTGAGCATTCTTTTGTTTAAATATCATTTGCATTTCTTATACTCTGAACTGTATGTTAGAACCTTTTGTTCATTTTCCTGTTTTTATTTCTTAGTGATTTTTAGGAGTGATCTATATATTAGGGGCATTAATTTTCTGCCTTATATATGTGCCACATTGATTAGTGGGTTATTGTGAGTTTTTATATGTATGCAGAGGTCAAAGACACCCTAAGAGGAAAACTGACTTTCTTCTCAAAGTGTATAAATGTATGTATAACACCATAGAGAAACTATTTTATTAAATAAACAGCTTGGGTGAAATTCAGTACAAATCTTCTTGAATATAAGTTCCAAGAGTGAAATAAGTTTCCTTTTCTGTTCACTGATATATCCCTGGTCCCTAAAATAGTGCCTGGCACAGAGGAGCTGCTCTGTCAATGTTTGTTGAGAAAAAATTGGGAGAATTTCAAGCAGGAAGACAAAATGAAGAATAGGCTCTAGGCAAATACTCTTCAAAGAGTGGCTGTAAGACATTTACATCTTAGTATGAATCAGTCAAATCCAACTGTTTCTACTTTTCACTTCCCCTGCTACTAGTGGAATCAATTTATTGCACGGATAGGATGTATTATCTAGAATAAATAAAAGGCAGAAGAGGAGATTTATGAAGGATGGCACCTGGGGACGAGCTGACATGGTTGGAGTAGTGGTGTGGAAGGCTTGAATAGTTAATTAAAGGGTATGATAAAGTATTCAGCTGCTGGAGGGAGTAGGGCAATGGTTCTCAACCTTCTGGCCCTTTAAATACAGTTCCTCATGTTGTGACCCAGCCATAAAATTATTTGTGTTGCTACTTCATAACTGTAATGTTGCTACTGTTATGAATTGTAATGTAAATATCTGACATGAAGGATGGTCTTAGGCGATCCCTGTGAAAGGGTTGTTCGACCGCCAAAGGGGTCGCGACCCACAGGTTGAGAACCACTGGAGCAGGGGAAGAAAAGAAGCATTGAGAGGTGGGATGATATGGAAATGAGATTCTCCTGGCTTTGACATTTGCACAGGGCAGGTTTAGATTTCTAGATATGTTATACTGTAGAAAAACACACATGAAATAATGGAGAGTATTTCGGTGCAATATTCTCTTGTTGGCTTCTTTTGAGTGTACATTATGTTTTTTTCAAGGCTTGTAATTAAATTTTAAAATCCTAATCACAGTAGCTTTTCTTAAAATTTGCCTTTAAATGGCTCGGGGATATTAAGTGATGGTATTGAATTTCTAAATTTCCTGCTGCATTTCTACACTTACAAGTCAGTCATTGTCTGGTTATCTGAAGACTATTTCAATTAGAACTGCCAAGTCTTATAATGTCTGGGTATTGAATTATTGAATAAAGCAGTTTCCTTCTTGTGTTTTCTATAATTAGGTAATTTCAGAAAAATGAGGATACTTGGTAGCTTTACACTCATGGCCTACTGTCATTTGTTGAAAGGTAAGACACCAAATAAGGATTTGTCATATAGTTTAAATATTTTAACCATAACTTAAAGACTAAAATAAATTTAAATGAATATAATTTTTAATAGAGAAGACATTCTATTTTCCTTCTTTATTTCATAAACGTATTTCATAATCTCTTATCATTGGACAAAGGTTTAGGAAACACAGACAAATCAAAAAACAAAATTAACTCATTATCCATTATGCATTGTTCATTTCTTAGGTATATTTACTGAAAATATCTGGGGAAATAGTCTATGATGTTTGTTTTAAACAACGAAAGGATCATTTTATCCACCTTGCTTGGTGACATGCTGTTCCCTGAAGAGTATATTATAAGGAAGAATTTTGGAAAGTGTCAGGGTAACAACAGTACTGGCATTATCCTAAGACCCTCCCCAAATCTTCAGACTCATATACCTCAGGCCAGACAACTGATCAAGAGTTAGGACTACAGTCATGTGCTGCTTAAAGATGATTTGGTCAATGATGGACTGGACTGTATGTACCACCATGGTCCCTTAGGATTATAATGGAGCTGAAAAATTCCTATAACCTAGTAACATTGTAGCCATCATAATGTCCCAGTGCAATGCATTACCCACTTGTGTGTGGTGAGATTGGTATAAAAAAACCTACTCTACTGGTAGTTGTATAAAAGTAGAGCACAAACAATTATGTAGAGTACATAATACTTGATACTTTTAATAAATGACTATTACTGGTTTATGTATTTACTATGCTATACTTTTTATTGTTATTTTAGAAGACTCTTTCTACTTATAAAAAAAGGTTTGTTTCTAAACATTATGCCATGTTAGGCCAACAGCAGCCTCATACATCCTGTGTTTACGTCTTTTGATTGCATTATTTTCACTTGTGCTTGATTTAATCTCATGTTATTTTGTACAGTAAAATGTCATACAGGCTTGTAGCACAGGAGCAATAGGCTATATCATATAGCCTAGATATGTAGTAGGCTATACCATCTGTATGTGTCAGTGCACTCTATGGTATTTGCACAACAGCAGGATCACCTAACAATGCATTTCTCAGAATGTATTTCCATTGTTAAGCAGTGCATGACTGTATTGGAGTCTGCCATTCAGACTATGCAGAAGGCAAATATGTGTCCAATAAAAGGATATTCTGGGGATGTCCACATGAGACAAAGTCTTCAGTTTTAAGTACCCTGTCACCATATAGTATTTCCATGGTAATGTATGTTTATGAATTTTGGGACAACTTGTTTAGCTAATTTTATTATTTTTATCTCAAAGATGAAATATAGCATCCCAAAATGCATTTCAAACCCACCAGATAAAATACATATTTTAAGCAAGTTCCTAAACATAATTATCACATAAGTGATCAAGTAAAATGTTTGTAAACTATGTGCTCATTATGTGAAATTTTTAAGAAATTTTCCATGTTCTGAAGATTGGTTATTTTTCTTTTCAGCATTTACTATCACAGTTACCCAGGACCTATATGTGGTAGAGTATGGCAGTAATGTGACAATGGAATGCAAATTCCCAGTAACAACACCGTTAAACCTGCATGTATTAGTTGTCTATTGGGAAATGGGAGAAAAGAAAGTTATTCAATTTGTAAATGGGAAGGAAGACCTGAAAGTTCAACACAGTAGTTACAGCCAAAGGGCCCATCTGCTGAAAGACCAGCTCATTTTGGGAAAGGCTGCACTTCAGATCACTGATGTGAAACTGCAAGATGCCGGGGTTTACCATTGCTTGATCAGCTATGGTGGCGCCGACTACAAGCGGATTACTTTGAAAGTCAATGGTAAGAATTATTATAGGTAAAGAGGCCCAACCTTTATTAAAATCTCAGCGATGAGAACTTTTCATTCTTGAAAGGCCTCTATTACTCTCCACAGGAGCAATCTGTTCATTCATTCATTCACACACCCATCCAATGAGCATTTCTTTTTCCTTTTTAATTTTCACCCAAGGACATGTTTTACTGATTTTAGATAGAGGGGAATGGAGAGAGATAGAGATAGAAACATCAATGTATGAGAGAAATATCAATTGATTGCCTCCCATGCACACCCCACCAGGAATCAACCCACCATTTTCAGTGTGTCCTGACTGGTAATGGAACCGACAACCCTTTGATGTACTGGATGACACTCCAACCAGCTGAGCCACACTGACCAGGGCCCAATGAGCATTTCTTGAGCCCCTCCTACTTGACAGTCCCTAGAGATCCAGAGCCAAACATGTCAGAGCCATGTTCCATAGAATGTTCAGTTTTCCTAAAATAAATTCTGTCTTTACTTTGCTATTATTATAAAAGTAATACATACTATGGAAGGAAATAAAATGAATTACAGAAATGTCCCTCCACCCTTCACCACCATCTTCCATGACATGCAGAGATAACCAGGTAACCACTATTTGTGTGTTTTCTCCAGGATTCTTTTTTAAATTCAACTACTATTTTAATTTATTAGGTCTGCCAGCATTTTCCTTCCTTTGAACCTCTCTATGCCATACTTAACTAAAACAAATGTTAAAAACAAATTTCGCTATAAGGTGCACATTTTAAAAGAATTGAAATCATTTTATGAAGGCAAACTATAATTACATCAAGAATAGAGAAAACTATTCTTCCTTAGAGATGGTATAAACTATGTTCACTGGGCATTCATCTTGAAAAATCTATACCAGCATTATCTTGGAGTGTTAAAGATGAACTGTGAGTGACAAATCCCTGAGTTCTGAACCACAAATATGTCATCAGGTCACCTGGGTTCAAAGTTTGGTAAAGGAAAACACCTTAGCTGACCACCTCTGCTTTCACAGTTAAGATTCCTAGAATTGAAAGCTGAAAGGATCCCAGGCAAGAGCAGCTAGCCCAAATTCCCAAGGAACAGAAATTCCCCAAAGGGTCTTCTGCTCACATACTTCCCACAATTGTTGAAATTTCTTTCTGGTATTGAGCTGAAATCTGCCCTATTTACTTACAGTTTTGAAATTATGTGCCTACTTTTTTTTTTCACCTTTTAATGTGACTAGAATTAAATCATCATCTCTTGGTATTTCCATTCCTAGGATAACTACGATTAATCTGAAGGTCAATAAATAGAAAAAGTTTTAATTTACCATAAAGGGATAACTGGTCATTATCTCAAAATCAAAATTATATAAGAATTAGGAGAAATGCACCTGTTTTATGGCATATTACTGGGTCACTGATTCTGGCTCAATTAATGTCAAGAAGATGCAACTTGTGAAGTAGGTTAAATGTTCATTGCATTTTACCATATGCTTCTCTAGAACAGTGATATTCATGAAAATAGAATAGTGGGATTTCAAGTGGGATTTTTAATTTTTCTTCAGTCCATCAGCAAATATCAGGCACTTTACTGTGTTTCTATGCATGAAAGAAATTATTAAGACATCATCCTATAAACAGCCAGGAATCTGGAATAGGAAGAAGAGCATAAGCCTGGCAGTCAGGTAGAAGTATAGAGTGTAAGTCTCTCATTAGCCTGCAGGTCCTATGCAGAGTGGGACAGCTGTCCCTGCAGTGAGGAAGGGTGTTCTTCCAGGTCACCTGAGCTCTGTACTGTCTCCTGTGGAGCTACAATTTCCTCTTCTATGGTTTGACACAATAGGAAATCCATGGGTTGGATAGTTTTTCCAAGGCGGGGCCCCTGGTGGAGTACTGTAGATGACCAATATCTGATTTGCTTGACGATTCTATTTTGTGTTATAAATTACTAAATTGGCATCCTACTCCCCATCCATCTTGTTGTCATATCATAGTTTTAGGGGTTAAATTGAGCTTCACTGAAAGCAAGCCAGCCACCAAATTTCAGCTGAGGCTGAATCACTAATAGAAGTTTGATGTCCAGGTTACTTGAGCTACATAATTCAAGGAAGTAGAGCTCCTGAGTCACCGGTTCTCAATCTGTAGGTCGCGACCCCTTTTGTGGTCGAACGACCCTTTCACAGGGATCGCCTAAGACCATCCTGCATATCAGATATTTACATTACAATTCATAACAGTAGCAACATTACAGTTATGAAGTAGCAACACAAATAATTTTATGGCTGGGTCACAACATGAGGAACTGTATTTAAAGGGCCAGAAGGTTGAGAACCACTGTCCTGAGTCATCTCCATATGCAAATGATTTCACAGTAACTCTATCAGACTTCTCTTCCCATCACTGCAAACATGTGGTAACACAGCTTCCCCACAGGGAGTTTACTTACCATGGCCTTTTAAACGTGAAACATTTCAAAACTGAAATGTGAAACTGAAGTTTTGGATTAACTCAATTGTTATTATCACTTTATTACTCCATATATTTACTTTGAGTCCAATGAAAATAATAATATGATATTTATAACAAGATAATTGTTCCTTTAAGTCCAAACTTGGCCCAAGTATGAATAGAAGAGTTAAGGCAGAACTAGCAGTTCCCCACTGCTAAGCTATCTGAACATTAGCTGATATCTATGAGAACCATCCTGGATTTATATTCTTTCTAATGTGGACAACACCAAGCCACACGTCTAGTTCTGTGCTAAGTGAATGCCCTGACTTCTCTACTTTCTGCTCATGACCTAGCCCCATACCGCAAAATCAACCAAAGAATTTCTGTGGATCTGGACACCTCTGAACACGAACTAACTTGTCAGGCTGAGGGTTACCCTGAGGCTGAAGTCACCTGGACAAGCAGTGACCACCGAGTCCTGAATGGCAAAACCACCATCACCAGTTCCGAGAGGGATGAGAAACTTCTCAATGTGACCAGCACACTTAGGGTCAACACAACAGCTAATGAGATTTTCTACTGCACTTTTCGGAGATCAGGTTTTGAGGAAAACAGTACATCTGAGTTGGTCATCCCAGGTAATATTTTGAAAGTCTCAATTAAAATGTGCCTAGTATTATCTCCTGGTACCAAACATGATGCCTGCTCATCGTAGGCATTCACTGTTTGTTGAATGAATATGCAGCCTGCTTCCTTATCTCCATTCATCCAAGTCACATTGCTATATTTATTGAATATTTATATATCAACAAATATTTATTGAATATAGCCTATGTGCAAAGCATTGGGAGCTCTCAGAAGAATAAGACCGTTCATATTCTTAGGAAACAGATTAAAAAACAACAACAGGCAATCTCATCCATGCAGAAATGCTGTTGTGGCTGAGGGATCCAGGGGAGCACCTGAGAAGAATACTCAATTCAGGCCAATTGCCTCCCTCAAGGTAGTCTACGACATTTCACTTCAGGGCGGTCCGCTTAGTGCATAGGGCTAAAGGCTGCGTGTCCCTGGGCAAGTTACTCAACTTCTATAGGCCTCATTTTCCCCATATGGTTATAACCTGTTGGGCAAAATTATCATGGGATTACTTGAGTTACAGTGTATGACAAGGATTTTAGATTTTTACCTGCACAGATTCAGCTATTTTGGGTGTGTTTTTTTTTACCCCCCTACCCTACAGAAGTGGGTAAAGTTGGTAAGGCAGGAAACAGTCTGGTGACCGGCTCAGACCTTCAAAAAAAGTGAGGTGGGCAAGCATGATGTTAAATAAAATTAGAGGTATTCTGCGAAGCACTTTTTACTGCTCTCTCCCCCACTAGATGTTGACAGTAAAGCTTCAGGTACTTCAGAGAAGACAACTTTAAAAAAATGGGTAGAAACGTCGAGCAATAGGAAAATACAATCCAGCCCCCCCACCCCACCCCACCCGCAAAAAAGAGTTTAGATAATGGAAGAGATGCTCTTACTGGGCATGAGTCACTTTGGTAGGAGCTGCATTAGTGGGTTCCTGCCATTTAACAGCTGTTTTATGACAGCTTATTTGTGGAATGACTTAGAATAACTCGAACTGCTTGGAGTCTGTTTCCTCATCTGTAACCTGGGGATTTTTTTTATACCTGGCATATCTAACTCATAAACTTATTTTGAGACTCAAAATAGATATGAACAGGCTTTATAGACTGTAAGCTACTAGATGAAGGTGGACTGCTGCTGTGGCTTTAAAACTTCAATTAGGTAGTCAGAGATCATGACTAATGGTGGGAGGTTAGCAATCTCTGAGCCTCATGTGCCATGGGACCACCTTTTCTTCCTGCATGGAACCGCAGACAGAGAGATTGGGAGATTGGTGAGAGGCACTAATGATTAGATGTCCCGAGATTCAAACTGTGGAAAAAGAAGAGATAAAAATTGGTCCCCAGTCATGACCACAGACATAGGGAGGTGAGCATTCTTTGGCAGTGCTAGCTGGCCTTCATGTTGCATCTTTGCCGTGTACATTAGCCTTTTGACTTCAATATTAAAGAGTATAAGAGAAAGTGAATTAATCAAGGCTGCCATTTAGGATTAAGCAGCCACCCACTGTGGTACTGTGCTAAGCACTTTATAAACATTAGCCTTATTGTTTCCAACTTGTAGGCTGGTTAAAGGACTTGTCAGAGAAGTCAAAGCTAGTGAGTGGCAGCAGAATTTAACCCCAGGTCCATCTGTCCAAAGCCTGGGCTGCTTCCATTTTTTCGTGCTGCTCTCACTTTCATATTGGAGGTATCTTACCATTCCAGCCACTCACTGGACAGGAACTTTTGAAAATTAAACTAAAGCTAACCTCGATCACTTTTAAGGATGATTATTCTCTTGACTCCTTCCCATCACAATTTTATCTTTAGTCTATTTTTGTTTTGTTTTGATTTTCAGAACCACCTACAATTCCAAGAAATAAGAGGACTCACTGGGCAATTCTGGGAGCCATTCTGTTGTTATTTGTAGCCCTGGCAGTGGTCGTCTGTCTACAGAGAAATGGTATTTCCTTTATTGAAAGGGTCTTCACTGGGGATGTGGGGAAATGTATGGGGGTGCTAATGTTGTCACAATGGTACTTAGTAGACAGAGCCAAGAATGCTAAACCTGCTGTAATGTGCAGGGCAGTCCCACCTAATAGGGGGACTACCCCAAATGCTTGCAGTACCCCCACCAGGAAACACTGATTTATAAAATGCTGCCTTCCTATAAGCCTTTTCTTTCAGGGCTTGTTTTCAATTATGCAAAGTAGATTTTAGCTATGCCATCATGTGAACCTGTATATCACCTCTTCCTCTAGCCCTGTTCATTCTCCTATCCAGCAGCATCACCAGCATTGGAAGGCAGCAGTGCACACTGTAGGAGCATTTCTGAGGGAGTGACAGGTGGATCATGACTTGCCTTTGCAAGGTGGCACAAAAACATTCTACTGTTTAGTAGTAATTACAGTGACTCTGAGCAGTATTCCTGAGTGAAGATCCATGTGTATAGAAGTGAGGGGCAGGAGAACAGGAGTGAATAGAGTTTCTTCATCATGCAGTTTCTTTCTATTATGGAAATAACTAATAACCACAGACTTAGAGGAGAGAAAAAGCTAAAATACCTGTTGGTTTTAGTTGATTTGAGTCTTATATTAGTTGCACTGTTATATTGAGCTGGTATCTGGATGCCCTAAGTTATAAAAATAGTTCCTTCTGTAGAGCTGTGATACTTTTACTATAGAGTATTTTGCTGATTATTCAATTTTCTAAATAATTTGAATGTGCTTATCTCTCTGTTTACTTATGGCAATAATTGAATGCAGGAAAATGAGCCTATTCAAATAATTTCTTCCCATTTTAAGATGACTCAGAGAAAACATTTCTCCAATTCTTTGAGAAGTATACTAAAGGACACAATGGTGGTTTGCATAGAGTTATCTGTTGTCAATAAGGAAGCAGAAAATGGAAGGGAATTCCAGTAGTTGTTGAGAAATTCCCCACAACCCTTTAAGAGGGGATCTGGGAAAGTAGTGTAATTGAGGGAGTGGAGGTTGCTGATTCTAAAGACTAAGTACTTAATGCTTAACAGAACATAGACAGCCAGAATATAAGGACCAAGTTTCAATGATAGGAAGATCCTGAGATGGAGCTGATTTGTCCAAGGAAGTGACTATTACCAACTTGCATTTTGAATATTTTCCTATGTAAATTATTAGTTGGTATTAGAAATGACTAGGAAACCAGTGCATGATAAAGTACCTCAGAGTATGGTCCATCTCTGAGGTAAGAATGGAAAATAAAAGTATATACTTACAAAGAAAATCTAGGAGCAAATGCCCTAAACTGTTGAATTAACCTCAGGGGTTGAGACCTGTGAAATAAGGAAGTCTACCAGATTTCCTAGGGATTAAAAATGTTTCGTAGGAACCTGGAATTTAAACTTGAGTCACTTTGTGGGATGTAGAATTGTGTTTTGTGGAAATAAAAATGACTTTTTTTTTCCAAGTGAGAATGATGGATGTGGAAAAATGTGTCACTCAAGACATGAACTCAAAGAAACAAAATGGTAAGAATATTAGCAGGGATTGAGAAGTTGAAGAAAAAGGAAACAAAAAGCTAAAGTAATAACAAGGAGGAATCTATCAGTCATAATTCCTCTTCTTTTAAAAGAATGTTAGCTGTTGGAACTGCTGGTTTCTTTTGCCTCACAACTCTAATGTGAGAACTCCCCCCCCCACGCCCCCACCCCTACCCCCACAGTCTGAGAAGGTTTAGGGATGGCCTGGAGAGTAAAGAATGGTGAGCAGCTCTGTGTGTGTGTGTTGGGGAGGTGTAGGGGAAGGCTTGAGCTGGGTTAGGAGGCAGTTTCTCTCTGCTGGATCTCTATTGCTTTGCATCCTAACTTCTCCCTGCAAGAGGATCAAGTTGACTTATGTAGATAGATTGATCAATAGAAGTTGTATGTCAGGAACTGTCTTAGTACCTCTTTTAATTCCCTCCAACCCCTCAAATGAAGGAGATAAATACCAGGATTATCTCCACTTTATATTAGAGAATACAGGGCCAAGAAGATCATGTAAATTGCACCAAAACATACAGCTGATAAGTGACAAAAATCAGGCTTTGAGGCCCATTAGCTTGACCGTAGAACCTTACTCTTAGCCTATCTGCTTGATTCCATTTTGCCACAAATGTCTATATTTATAAAACGTCAGAAAAATTTCACCCAACTGAACTAAGAGAAATAATGTTTTCAATTTGCTTTAATATATTTAGAAACCAAACTTCACAAAAAGCCCAACTTTAAAGTAATCTAATCAGATTGGACAAGCTCAGGCAAGTTTTATTATGTGGTTTCCTTTGTGTTAAAGCTAACTAGTGAATGTTGTTTGGGTCATCCTAGGGTGACTAACCATCCCAGTTTTCTCAAGACCAAAGGTTTCTCGGGTCAGGGGACTCTGAGTTTTAAAATCAGGACAGTCTGAGACAAACTGGAATGGTTGGTCACCCTTTATCAAGTAAAGGTATTTGAGCAAAAATATACTCTGCTTCTTTATCTTCTTGCAAATGTATTATAGCATCCAGCAAATATAAAATATTTCTCATTATTGCTCTCCAGCTGCACAGTTTGAGGAGACGTAATCCAACATTGGAACTTCTGGTCTTAAAGCAGGGATTCTCAGCCTGTGGTTTGCGTTTGTCAGGGCTGAGCATGACCAGAGGTGTGCAATAGGCCGGCAGGCTGCAGGCGCTGTAGGACTCAAAAGGCTCAAGCACTGAAAATGGAAGCTGGAAAAGAAGAGGAGAACAAAGAACGAAGGAAACCTTGATACTTCAAAATGACTGGAAGACTCATCGGTGCCTATGGAAGGGAGAAAGGAAACTTCTGAATGATGAGCCTCCATGCAAATTGTCCATCGCTCTTCCTAGGAAAGCAAGTTGAGATTCCCTGATTTATTGGTCAGTTCCTACAGAAGTGCCTTCAATCAGTGTCTTGATTTGTCTTCTGCATGATTGGGAGTGCTGGTGTTGTAACAGTATTTAAATATGAGTGATTTCTATTTATTTTGAGTTTGTGGGGTCTTGTCGTGTGAGTGTGGTTGTGAATGATCTCTTTTGGAAGATATATTGTCACCAAACTAAACTTCCTGCTTAATCACTTGTATGTGTCCAGGAAAATGTATAGTATTTGTCAGGTGCTTTGTATCCTCTATAATTATTGATATGTAGGAAGCACACAAACAAACCATTGGTTTGTATAGGATGATGGAGTGGTAAGTAGCAGACCTCAGATTTCCCGGACTGTCATCCACTGTCCTTTTAGAATACAATTTACAGCTGCTAATTTATTCATTCAGCAAACATTTATGAAATGCCCTTGCATGCCAATCACTGTGCCAGACAATGAGTCTACAGATGTGGGCAAAATAAAGTACTGTCCTAAAGGAGCTCATAGCATAATGGGGAGACCGGTAGGAAAATGTATTATTACACTTCGTGCAGTGACATAGCATAAGGTGTTGGAGGAGAATGATAGTGAGAGAGAGAAAGTCTAGATATGCTGCCAAAAGGAGGGGGTACTGTTGGTGGCCAGTCAGTGTGTTCCTGGACAACTGAAAATACTTTAATAATCAAAGCAATTTTAGTTTGTGAGACAGTATCAATAATTTTTATGTTTTTAAGATGTCAAATTTTTAAAAACTGTAGAAAATAACTTTTGAATTCCTTTCCTATCATTATATTTACCCCTTATTTATTTGCCTTTGTCATGCAACCTAATGCTTATTTATATAGTGTCTGGTATTATTTAACAGTTCTTTTTTATTTAAATGCAGTTGAATTTTGAATTTAGACTTTTCCATGATTCAAAATTCAGAAAGTCAACTAGGAGACATTAAAAAGTCTCTACGCCATCCTTGTATCACCCAGGTTGCCTTTCTAGAAGCAACCACACTTGCCTTTTGTTTATTACGCTTCTGACGATATTCTATGAATGTTTGTGGAAATATATATATACAGACAGTCCTCGGATCACATCAGACTTGATGTACGCCGTTTTGTGGTTACGCCGCCAAAGTTCTGTCATTTCGATGTATGTACATATATGCTTTATGTGTTTTATTATTTATTTACCACAAGTAAAGGTCAGGAATTGTTACCTTTCTTTTACATTTTTTTTTTTTTTTACTGTTTCACTTCATTACTGCTGTGTATGTGCTCCATGTAGTGATATAGGTGCTTATGTAGGTGGGTTTGACTTACGGCGAAAATCTCCTTACGTTGCGCCATAGGAATGGATCTCCAACGTAACCCGAGCACCTACAATATAGCATATATTTTTCTTTCTTCCTGTTTTTCACGTGTGTGGTAACACATTACATGCCTGCTGTGCACTTGGCTATTTTTATTTAATATATTATTTTATATGTAGCAGTGGGACAAATATGAAGTTCCCAGAGGTCAGGCACCATTGTCTTGTTAGTTTCTAGAGCACCTTTTCTATAGCCTCTTAGTGTTTTTCATAAGACTTAGTACATGCTAAATATGTACTACGTCTACATTTAGACAACCAGCAATTCATTGAGTACTTGCTTTATGACTGAGGAGGGACTTGGTTTATTTTGTCTTTCTCAAAATGGAAACCATGGGCTCTCTAACTGGGTCAATTTAGTCCTAAAGGATGACTTTATTACTAATTCTGTGTGACAGAATCATGTCTGCAACTTGTTATTTTGTTTGTTTTCTCCTGAGTATAAACTTGACTTTGATATTGTACTTGCAAAATTACATGTTCTTTTTGGAAATTCCAGTAGAGTACCTTGACCCTAGACCCTCATGTATGCCAATAAAAACCCATGAGTTAGGCTTAAACCCTTGAGTCCTGCCAGTTTTCATCACTGCAGAGGCCTCTTAAGATCTTGCTTTCCAAAGGTGATGCGATTCAGATGCCTTCTCAGAAGCTCCCAGAGTATTCCTTCCCTTTTAGCCATTTACCTGGATTGATGACAAGGAAAACCTTCTTTGCTTTTTCACATGTCAAAGCTGAAGAAACAGGATCTCCAAGAAAATTTCTTTTCTTATCTTTTTGCACATGTTCATTTGTACAATATCCCTTGTTTGTGTGATGTACAAGCAAGGATCCAGTCTATTCACTCCATTCCTAATTCTTAAAGCCTTCATGGTGTTAGATTTATAAAGCACTTTAGCCCTTTGTCTTGTGTTTTGTTGTAAATGACATAGGCAGAAATGGTATATAATTCTGCGTTTGATAATCACTGTATACACCTGCATTAATTTAATAAAACATTCTTATTTATTATGGTTCCGGTACACCAGCATGACCATTTTTCTTGTCTTATAAAAACCACTCCTAATTTAGCATCCCAATGGAGACAGTTACTTGAAAGATCTTCAGCCATCTTCCTTGTTCTTTTTTTTTTCATAGCTTCTGTGTCTACACAGCATGCTCTTAAGTCCTGCATAATGAAAAATATCAAAAGAATTATTTTTAAAAGCATATTTTGAAAATTTTTATTCTCTGTAACTCAATAGCTTCTTTTAGGAAAATACAAAAAAAAATTGTCAGAATTGTGCCATCCAAATTGAAGAGTTGAGGGAGGGAAAGTGGAAGAGATGGAGTGGTAAAGAGAATTACAGGGAAACAAAGGGGCTTTCCTTTCTGCGAGTACTCTTCTCAGATCAGTAAACATGGATATGTAAGCCAACACACATGAAGCTGGATGTAGTTCAATCTTCAGGTTCTGAATAGGAAGTGAGAAACCTAGAGCAAAGCCAAGGTTAGAATTGAGTCCTGGTACAGAGTGCTACCATAGGGAGATTTATGGTTTTACAACAAATGACAACACTTGTCATTCAAGGAAGTATAGAACTTTAAATGCTGTCATCTAGCTTAATTAGTCACCAAGTTCACTTTACAGAGACTTTTGGTCATTTCTCTGAATCAGACACTCAAAACGTGATGATGATTTCTAAGAATATATGCCAGATTCTACAAGGTGTTTTAAAAAAATCTATATCTATATCTATATCTATATCTATATCTATATCTATATAGTTGATTTTAGAGAGAGAGGAAGGGAAAGGGAGAGAGAGAAATATCAATGTGAGAGAGAAACATTGATGTGAGAATCATTGATCAGCTGCCTCCTGCACACCCCCTACTGGCAACTGAGCCTATAACCCATGCATGTGCACTGACTGAGAATCAAACCGTGATCATCTGGTTCATGGGTTGTCACTCAACCACTGAGGTACACTGGCCAGACTCCTTGTTATAATTTAAATGTTTCCAGAATTATTTTTATTTTAAGAAAAGTTAAAGTTTGACCAAACTGAAGCAATTGTTAGTAGTTGGGTGCTATAATTAACAATCATGATAATTACCACTCATTGAGCATATATTCTATGCCAGGAACTAAGAGTTACATATATTATCTCACTTAATGCCATGAACCAGCAAGGAGGTGTTCCAAACAAGGAAACCACATTTGCCTGGATGACTGCCAAATCAGCAAAGTTAAGGAAAAGTGGAGCGTTAAATAGGCAAAAATAAATAAGTGCATAATTACAGTGATACTATGGGGAAGCTTTAAAAAAGTTTTGATTGAAATTC